CCCCGCCTCGCCGCCGGCCCGCGCAGCGCGGCTCAGCAGCCGCTCGGCCTCCTGGGCCATCGCCCCCTCGCCTGCCTCCAGCGCGCGCGCCGCCTTGGCCGCCGCGCCCTCTGACTGCGCGGCGCGCCGGCGCAGGCGCCGCAGGCGCGACCGCAGCGCGGCGGCCGTTAGCGCCGCGAGCGCTGCTGCGTCGGCCGCGCGCGCCGCCGCGGGGACCGGCGGCAGGGCGCCCGAGTGACCGTCCGCGCCGGCCCTGACGCCGCCGCCGTCGGCGCCGCTGTGGCTAGCGCCTGCAGCGGGCGCCGCGGTCCGCAGTGGTGGCAGCAGGAGCAGCTTCCCCTCTAACTGCTCAAGCAGCAGGCGATCCTCTCGGGCTTCCTCGTCAATTGCAGCATCCATGCCCTGCGGCCCACTGGGCAGCTGCTGGGGCGCGTGCCGCAGCTGCTCGCCTGAGCTGGCCCGCAGCTCTTGAGCGGCGAGCGCCGCCGCCTCTCGCGCCTGCGTCGGGCGGCATCACACACAGCGCGCGAGAGTCAGGGGGAGGCGTTCATCAGGGTTCAGAGTTCAGAGCCAAGCCCTGCCGACATGGATTTGCCGATCTCCGGTCGGATCGCGCCGTGCCTCAGAGCGTGTCATGTGCCTCCACCCACAAGCACAGCCCACCGGTCGCGGAGCACCGATCAGCATTTCGGGTGCCGCACTCCTGCAGGCCAGATGCTTGGCTTACCTGGTCAAATACGAGCCAGCACCCCGCCTCCGCCGCCTCTGCCCGCCGCCGCGCCTGCGCCAGCTCAGCAGCCGCAGAATCAACCCGCAGCTGCAGCTGCGCCGCCCGCGCTGCGCCCGCCGCCGCGCCCACGCGCGCGACCTCGCCGCGGCCCGCCTCCTCGTCGGCGCGCGCCGAGGCGCCGGCGGCCGCGGCGTGCGCGTCGGCGAGCTGCGCGTGGAGCGCGACAGCCGCACGCTTTTCGCTCGCGATCGCATCTGCCAGCGCGGCCCGCAGCTCCACGATGCGGTCGTCTTTGGCCTGCCCAAAATTATGGGATGAGCGGCGCACAGGCGGCGGACGTCATCACAGCGGTGGCACTGCGGTGATATGTAATTTGATGTGCGCCGAAAGAGACATACCAATGCTGTGATGCAGAGCTGTCGAATGGTTGCAGGGGTCCCTCTGAGGTGCTCTCCTTTGACTTGGCTCTCAAAACTCAAAGCGGCGCAGCCCATGCCTGCCAGCTCTCTCTACGTCAAGCTTTCAGGAATGCAGGGGCCGCAGCGCACCTGGAGAGCCTCCTGCGCCGCGGCCAAATCCGCGGCCTTCGCAGCCGCCTCCCCCTCTGCCTCCACGCACCGCCGCACCGCGTCCGCCGCGTGCCGCTGCGCGTCGCGCGCCTGCAGCCCCGCGGCGCCCGCCGCCGCCCGCGCCTCCTCGAGCTGCCGCCGCAGCCCCCGCTCCTCGCCCTCCCCCTCACCCTCGGTGGCGGCGGCGGCCTCGGCCGCGGCCGCAGCCGCTGTCGCGGCGGCCACCTCGGCGAGCGCCGCCGCGGGGCGTGCTTCGCCATCGCCTGCGCGCGCGGTCAGGCGCTCTACTTCATCCGTCGCCGCCGACAAGGCCTCCGCCAGGCTGGCCAGCTTCGCCTCGGCTTCCTCCTTCATGTCGTCCAGCCGCCGTCCCAGCGCGCGCCCCTCTGCCTCCGCGGCCTCGAGCCGGCGCGACAGGTCCGCGGCGCGCGCATCTGCTGCGGCGGCGGCGGACGCGGCGGCGGACGACGCAGCGGACGCCGCGGTCGCGTCGGCGCGCGCAGCGGCTTCGCCGCGCTCGAGGTTCAGGATTGATTGGTGCACCTATTCGATGCGTTTTGGGGATGAGCACGGGTCACACAGCCATCCGACAGCTGCCAACATCAGGCAATGCTGGATTATGATCACAGCAGGGGCGGCGGCTGATTTGATTTGCAGGAGGATCGCCAACACAGCTTTGTGCAGTTTGCACATGAGCCGCTGCGCCGCCTCCGACCACGGGCGCGCAGCGCCGGCCGCCCCGGCGCACCTGCGCCAGCACCTCCCGCACGCGCGCCACCACCAAGTCCGCATCCCCGCCCTGCAGCTGCCGCGCGGCGAGCACGCGCGCGGTCAGCGCCTCATACGCATCCACGCCGAGCCCCAGCCGCCCCAGCGCGCCGCCCTTGAAGCCGAAGGCGACCTCCAGGTTGTGGGGGCTGAGGGCCGTGTGCACCGCGAGGAAGCTGTCGCGCAGCTGCGAGTACGCGGCGTGGAGCTGCTGCTGCTGCTGGCGCGCGGACTCCAGGGCGGCGCGTTGGGACTCCAGCTGCGCGGCCTCCAGCCCCTTTGTGTGAAGGCGTGGTTTCGACGAAAACAAAGCGCGAGTTGAATGGACGGGTGCCGCGTGTGGCTGCCTGGGAGGGCTGCAATCGCGGGCGGCGGCCAAGGCGCCATCTCCGCGAGCCGCAGCCCGTACAATGTTACAGGCTGCGGGTGCGGGCCGCGGGCGGCGAGAGCCGCCTCGCGCGCGGCGCGGCGCGGCGCGCGGGGGGACCGTTGGGCGCGCGCGCGGCGTCCACCTGTATGTGCTGCACCACCGCCTGGTCCCTGGCCGCCAGGCGTGCCGCCATCAGCCGCAGCTGGTCCCGCATCTCAGACACCTCTGGGGGGCGCATCGGCATGGGGTGGAGGGGGCGCGGCTCAGGTCGGCGGGGGCGCGGCGCTGTATACGTGTGGTGATGACGAGGCCTGCAACACGGCCCTCATGGAGCACGGGCTGGCGAGGACAGGCATAGTGGGCGTTTGCGCCTGCGGGGCAGGGTGCCGCGGCCCGTTTGGGCGTCCGTACGATCCGGGGCCTTCCCGTCCCGCCGCTCCCGGCCCACCGCACCCGCCGCGGCGGCGTCCAGCTGCGCCTGCGCCTCCTGCCGCCC